GAACGAGTCACACCAGGAGGAGGGGCCCGAACGACTCACACCAGGATGAGGGGCCCGAACAACTCACACCACGAGAAGCCCGAACGACTCACACCAGGACGAAGAGCCCGAACGACTCACACCACGAAGAGCCCGAACGACTCACACCAGGAAGAAGGGCCCGAACGACTCACACCAGGACGAGAAACCCCAAACGACTCAAATCACGAGGAGCGCTTTCTCTCCCTCCTCCTCCGCCTCGTCCTTCTCCCGCTCCCCCCACAAGGAGGATGTACAAGGAGGCGGGAGGAAGGAGGAACAGGGGAGATATGCGGGCCCAAGCGGACACACGCCTGACAAACACGACTGTCGGCATGCTTCGCAAGAGTTGCTGCTGTGAGATGGGCTGGTGGGGATACGCGAAGCGTAAAGAATTCAACAACAACGGTATCAACATCATGATCACCATCCGTCATGCCCGCGTCTTCTTCCATGATGATCCTCACCAGTTCTGATCCTGAGGCTCCAAGTCTGCAACAGCTTCAAGGATGGAGGGGGGGCGGTGTCAAAATGGTGCTCTCGTTTTAGCGCCGCGTACATTCTTCTTGCAAGTTAACAGCAGCTTGAAGGATGGAGCACAAGTCCTTCTCTGAAAGCGGCCCTCGCCCTAAGCGCCGCGCATATTCACCCTGAAGATCTGCAACATATGCAAAGATGGAGGGGGACGCTTTCAAAGCGTGGTGCTCGCCACTGTGCCGCGCAAACTCGTCAAAGTTTGCAGCAGCTTCAAGGATGGAGGGCGGTCCGTTATCAAAATGTGGTTCGTGCCTTAGCGCCGTAAGGATCAGATGCCGATTACAAATTGTGGCTCGCGCCGTGGCGCGGCGCACACTCGTCTTGAAAGTTTGCAGCGGGTTCACGGACTGAACACTGCCCTTCTTGTAAATGTGGCTCTTGCGCGCAGCGTACATTCGCCTTGAAATATTGGCATGGCTTCAAGGATAGAGGGCGGCTCTTGTTTAAAATAATGCGTTCGCCTCACCGCCGCGCACGTTCGTCTCAAAGTGCGCCACAACCTCGAAGGATGGAAGAGGGGTCACTTCCAAACTGTGCCTCCCCCCATAGCGCAGCGCACAGTGGCCTTCAAAATCTGCAGCAGCTTCAAGGATGGAGGGCGGTCCCGTGTCACAGTGTGGTTTGCGCCGTAGCGCCGCGCACTTTTTCGCCGGCGGCTAGGCAGGGTCACTGCTCTGGCGAAAGGAGCGAAACGGGGCAGGCGTTACGCGAATTGCGCAACCACGCAAGAAGGCGGGGGGGGGAGAAGGACAACGGGGCGTAGCGCCACGAACAGTCGTCCCTGAGCTGGCAGCCGTTGTCCAAATCCCGTCCTCGCCGGAGCGCCGCGCAGAGTCCATTGCACAGTCTGGAATAGCCTCGCGTGGGCAAGACGGCTCCTTCTCCATGTGGGCGTCTCGCCTTGGCACCGCGCACGTGGGTCGCAAAGCCCTGCAGCAGAAGCATGGAACGCTGGTCGTTGCCAAACTGGGGCTGTCGAGGCGCCGCAACGCCGTAACGTTTAGAAGGGTGGGGAACGGCTCGCTTTCAAGACGGGGTGCTCGCTGGAGGCTCGGCCAACCCTGAGGGCCCAAGCCGCCAACACAAGCAGCCCTGCACGTATCCAGGGCGGCTCGTTTACAGTCGGGACCTTGACCTAAGGAACCCAAAATTCGCCGGCCCAACGGGCCAGAGGCGTGCTAAGATCTCCGGTGACTGCTTTACAATCTTTCTACTTCGCGCGCGCGGGGCGGCCCCTGGGGGCCCCCGGGCGGAAAGTACCCCGGCAAGGTCCCGAGAGAGTCCCGGGAGGAGTCACCAGGGCGCTCCAGCAGCGCACCAACGCGGCTCCGAGACGTCCCCGAGAGCCCCAAGAAGGGCCAAGAGGCTTCCAAGAGGCCCCCAAGATGCTACATGAGGGGTCCGAGATGCCACAAGATCGCTCCAAGACGCCCACGATGGCCCCCAGACGCCCCAAGAGGCCTCCAAGAGCACTCCCGAGAGGGCCCCAAGAGGCAAAATTCACTGCTTTTCCTTAGGTTTTGGAGAGATTTTGGCGTTTCCACCTTTTCGGCTTCACGACACCCCAAGACGGCCCAAGAGGCCCCCAAGACCGCCCCAAGAGGGCCCAAGAGGCCCCCAAGAGGGCCCCAAGACGGCCCAAGAGGGCTCCAAGACGGCCCAAGAGGCCTCCAAGACGGCCCAAGAGGGCCCCAAGAACGCCCCAAGAGGGACCCCAGGGGGGGAACACGAAACAATATTTCGAGCCCTCGGCCCTCAGAAGTCCCCAGGAGGCCCCAAGAGGCCCCTAAGAGGCCCCAAGAGGCCCCCAACAGGCCCTCAGGAGGCCCCCAAGAGGCCCCCAAGCGGCCCCAGGAGGCCACCCAAATGCCCCCCCCAACACGCAAGCAAGTGCCAGCGACGCTACACTATGGGCCGGCGGAATGAGCGAAGCGATTCAATAAGGAGCGAGGCCCCATTTTTCCATAAGTTAAACTTCGATTTCCGATCGAAAACATGAGGAAAGCCTGAGGCAAGCTGCGAAACACTTGAGGAACGCGGAGCCCCTCCCCAACGAAAAGGGTTCCTTCTTCAGGGCCCCGACTGTACTCCTCTTCGGGCACACGCGGACCCGTGGATCCGGCGCGTGGGCGCCTCCCGAAGCATGAAACCTATGCCGCCCGATCTGGCGACGGGGCGCACCGATTCCGAAAACTTGTAACTTATACGGTGTGTGGGGGGAGGGAGAGACTGCCGATTCCTTCTTCAGGGCCCCGACTGTACAGAAGGATGGTCCGCTCGAGCGCGCGGCCACGAGTGCAAGGCGCACGCAAAAGCCACACGCACGGGAGAGCTGTCCTCCTCCTGAAGGGGGGGGGGCGTCGCTGGACACCTCCCTTATGAGGGGGCCCCAGGACCCACAAATAAATGCACACAGATAAAGATATTCCCCATATTTTCCTATAAGTTCTGGGTTTCTGTCTTCCCCCCACTTCCCATATTTTCCCATACTTTCTGGGGAATCGAGGATGAATTGTGTCTGTGTGTTTCTTTTCCTCCTGACCTTCACTGTACGAACATGGCTTTCGCGTTCCAGACTGCGCGCCAGAAATACGCGGGGCAGGTCCTTTTCAAAGCGGGCCCTCGCCAAAATGGCGGGCCCAGCTGTGCTCATCATTCCAGGGGGGCCTGTCCTGTGGTGGCCAGTAAACTTGTAGGAACGTATAGGGAGGGGACGAGCCGCTGCAGCGCAGCATCGTTGATGCATCATTGAGTTACCCTGGCCCTCTTCGTACGCATCATCTTCTTCCTCCTGTTCCTTCTCTCGCCCAGCGCGGTGGGCGAGAGAGGGTCCCGAATGCTGCGGCCCAGAGCCTGCGGAGAACGCCCGCGGCGCTCGTCTGGATCCGCCGCTCCCACGCTTCCAGGGGAGACTCGATCCAAACGCTTCCTCATCGGCCTCCTCCTGGTCGCCGACCTCCTCGTCATCATCGCCATCAGCATCTCTCTCATCCATCCGTGCAATCGTCCTCCGAACCATCCTCATATACCTCATCCTCATTATGCGCATCATCATCATCATCATCATCATCATCATCATCATCATCATCATCATCAGCAGCATCAGCATCATCCTCATGATCATCACCGTCATCAGCATCACCACCATCATCAGCTTCATCATCAGCATAATCATCCTCATCATCATCATCATCCTCATCATCATCCTCATCATCATCATCCTCATCATCATCATCATCATCATCAGTATCACCATGATCACCAGCACCACCATCATCATCAGCATCATCATCAGCAACAGCATCATCATCAGCATCGTCATCGCCACGACCACCACCATCAACATCATAGTCATAACAGCCGCATACGCATCCTCGCCATCAGCATCATCATCATCCGAAGCATCCACATCATCAGCACGAGTATCATCATCAGCAGCAGCACAATTACCATAAGCATAATCATCAACATCATCAGCATCAGCATCAGCATCATCAGCATCATCCTCATCACCATCAGCATTTCTCTCCTCCGTGCAATCGTCCTCCGAATAATCCTCATATGCCTCATCCTCATCATCCGCACCACCCTCATCATCATCAGCATCATCATCATCAGCATCATCAGCATCATCAGCAGCAGCAGCAACATCATCATCGCCATCAGCATCACCTGCATCATCAGCATCGGAAGCATCATCATCAGCAGCACCAGCTTCCTCATCATCAGCATCAGCATCATCAACATCAGCATCAGCATCATCATCAGCATCGTCATCGTCATAATCATCATCATCAGCATCATCAGATTAACCAGTATCATCATCAGCACCATCATCAGCACCATGATCATAAGCAGAATCAGACTCATCATCATAATCAGCATCGTCATCATCATCATCATCATTAGCATCAACGTCATCCTCATCATCATAATCATCAGCGTCATCATCATCATCATCATCATCATCATCATCATCATCAGCATCATCAGCATCATCATAATCATCACCCTTCCCTGCCTAAGCCACTGTTCCTCCTCCTCCCCCTCCGCCGCCTTCTCCTCCTCCTCCTCCTCCGTTGCCTCCTCCTTCTTTATCCCTCGCTCCGTCCCTTGCTGCTGCTTCTGTCTCTCTCCCTCTCCCTCCATCCCACCCTCCAACCTCCCTCCCAAACCCCTGCTCCGCTTCCACCTCCTTTACCCATCGCTCAGGCTGTAAGGGTTGGATTGTTTGAGCCCGTCTGTATAGTACGGGACGCTCCTGAGATCGAAATTTCATCAAGTATGAGTGCTGGTTCTCCTCCTCTCTCCACCTCCTCATCAAGCTCCACCTCCACATCCACCTTCTACTCCTCATCATCCTGACCACCACCACCACCACCATCACCACCCTCCTCCTCGTCCTGCTCCTCCTGCTCCTCCTCCTCCTCATCATCATCCTCATC